TCACTATTTCACACTCTGACAATGGGTAAGATGTTAGATCGATTGATCGATCACATGAGTTTACAAGCAGTCTAACAGAATGTTGTAATTCGGTGAAATCAAATTCATTTTCTGAAGAAATATGGTTAGGTAAAATGATAGCACGAAGGTTACAAACAGATATACTTTCTGTATGTTCGACAATCTCTGTGCATAGGTTTGGTGTCACGATTGGTTCAATGTTGCTTTGGTTGGATTTTTTATTGGTATTATCAATAAAGAACAAAAACGGTTCACTAGTATTACATTGCATTTTGATTATATCAAAAAATAACTTCTGTGCTTTGATCGTTTTCTTGTGTTTTAACTCTACCTCATAACGAATATATGCATCATTGAATTTCTGACTATATAATCCGTTTAGATCATATCCTAGTGATATCTTTGCATCCATAGGTGAAAAAATAGTCCAATAATCATCATCTTGAACACGTACTATAAATATATCTGGAATGGCAATACAGGGATTCAGATCTGTTGTACGTAACTCTGGTACCTGTGACTCATGGCAGATTCATAAAAACTCTTCTACATCATGGTGCCAAATTACTAGGTTTACCATAATCACTCCCTTGCATTTGTTACCTCCCTGGTCAACGTACTTGACCGTTTCATTATAATCACAAAGCATTCTACATACACCGGAAGAATATCTACTAGATCCTTTAATATAATTACCATTTGCACAGATATCACTAACGTTGATTCCAATCCCACCACAATTCTTTGATATCAGGGCAATATCTTTTAAACTTTCATATATTTCTTCAATTTAATCTCCTTTTATCCTTGCAATAAAACAACTAGCAAGTGGATTGTTTTCTATGCAAGAGTTTGCATGTGTAGGCGTGGCCATGCTTATCTTGTTAGAGACCATCATACGATAACATTCTTTTAACTTTACGAAATCATCAGAGTATATTTGCAAGACGATCTGTAATAACTCGTATTATACACAGTCAATCTCCCTGTTTTCTATTTTCTTGAAAAACTTTTTCTAGTTTCGTACATATTCCATGTACCCATGATCGTATTCTCTGGTAAAATCGATAAGGGAATCAAAAAATTCTTTATTT